CCTAGAAGAAACTCCTCATAGGTTCCAACAATTACCTCCATAGCTCCGGAATTTGTCCAATATTTTCTTTTTTAACTCCGGTTGACAACTAACTCGCACGTGGGGAATGTTATGAAAACGAAACATTTGGAGCATGATGCAATAATACAAGGTGGTATCAGTTGTGACAGCTCGATTTAACACTACCTTAGCTCAGTAGAATGAGAAGAAAAACGGGAAGAAATGAATCCCCATATGGGGGAAAAATATAAAATTTCACATTTTCTCCTTAACAAAATTTGCTTTTTTTATAGTGTATTCGTTAAAATACCTTTTTAAGAAAACAAAGTGTGTATACTTAGAAAAAATAAAAAAATGCAACTATATTATTAGGCAAAGAATTGTTAAAGAAGTAACACTGTTTCAGCTAAGGCAGTCAATATAGCCGAATTAGAGCGAGAAGTTGCCAAGTGATAATACCTTGTATTATTGCATCATTAAGTGTGACGTTATGCAAACAACGACTCTGTCAAATTCGTTCAATTTTTGGTTCATGATTTTGGAGGCGAGGCAACTGCTGCGATTATTTTTTATCAAAGTTGATGACCGATATTGTGGTATATACATATAACCTTACTTATGTAAAAAATTTGTACAAATTGGTAGCAATTGTTGCCAAATCGTGTTCGTTTGACCAAAAACTTGCAAAGTCAATTTTGACATTTCATTTAGAGGGGAAGTTGCAAATTCGTGCTGGGAAAGCAGGATTGTGGCACACGGTTGCATTTTTGCCAAAATTAATTTGAATCAACAAGATGAAAGAAGAATGGAAATATTTGTTTATTCAATTAATTTAATTATTTCCAAACATTTGAATGGTAATCGGTTGAAAAAGCAGTATTCGTAATCGGAACGCAGTCGACACCACTGTCGATATAGGAAATCCGACAGTGACTTACACAAAGAAATTGAAGCGTATGTTGGAAAAAGTCAGAATAAGAATACATATAGGTCCTGTTTGTTTTCTACCGGAAATAATTAGTCTGTTCCTTTGAACTTCGGACTAAAACCTGTGGAACTGTCAAACTACAATTTTACTCTCTCAAGTGAGAATAAATGAAGAACAAATGCAGAAGTGCACGGGAACGCAAGAAGCACTATTTCCTGTAAAAAC